TCACTTGGCTATCAGTGCCACAATTCAGTTGGTGCAAGTGCTCCTGGTGCGGATGTGCTTCATCAGCAAAAGGAGGGTAGTATGGACACCAACAGCCAATTGAATTACTTTGGTGGCTGTAGGGTGACCTAAGTTAAGTTGACCTAATTTTGTAGTGTAGACAAGCCCTTAGTTAAAGCACCACACAATTTGTGAATCTGCATAGAACTGCAGGCAGTTATTCGGCTTAAAACTTAGGGCATGTCTTCACTATGGCGCTAAATCGGCACCACTGTCAATGCAGCAGCGTCGATTTAGCAGTCTGGTGAAGACACAATAAGTCTATGGGAGAGCACTCTCCCATCAATGCAATTAATCCACCTCAATGAGAGATGGAAGCTATGTCGGCGGAAGAGCTTCTCCCACCGACATAATGTGGTGTAGACACCGCATTAAGTCTATGTGAGTTACATGGCTCAAAGGTGTGTGGGTTTTTATACCCCCGAGCAACTTAACTTACATTCACTTAAGTGGCAGGGTAGACAAGGCCTTAGTAAAATTCCATACCACCTATGCATAAAACTCACTTTAATTAAAGCTTCACATTCATTAAAACTTTCACAGCCACTCTTCCTAATTGAGATCTAGTCTTATGAAAAAAGTTTTAAGTGCAGCTATTGATTTGCGTGTGTCTCAATTTACTACTCAAACTTAAAATATGATGTTGTCCTGTCACTTTGGATAACTCAAGGTGAAGGTGAAAGGATTTTCATAAACTCCCCAAATTACCTTTGAGCTGAGACTAAGGATGGAACATTTGTAACCAAAGGGATAGGGTTTTTTTTCCAGTTTTGGGCAATAGAAATCACATTGCTTCTTAAGTATAGCTTTTGCTCTAGTTGTAAAAAAATTTTAGGCATAATATGAAGGTATCTGGCTGAATTGTCATCAGGCCATTCCAGACCAGCAGGGTCTGTGGTCTGTTTCTGGTTCCACACAATTATGAAACTACTGCTAGTGCTATTTTTGTAAAGGCAGTGATAAGTGTATCGGACATTTCAGACTAAAGACTAGGCACTACAAACCATTCAAACAAAAAACCTGGACTTACTATAATACTCTGAGTTTTCATCTTAAATCTCCTCTAGGTGTCAAATCATTGACTTTCACAAGCCAACTGGCCCCTTGGGTACACACCCTCGTTTATTTGAATGGGTTTTGAGCTACTATTCTTCAAACAGAGAAAGTGGTACAAAGGTTGTGTGTACCCCCAAACCACCTATCTACATGCAGCACCAAGGTCAGCATAATCTGTACTAGTTTCTTGATCTCTTGTATAGAATTTTATTATATTTGTATAACATGGTACTATTTCAAATGACATTTCATATTCTCTGCCTCCTTCATCCCTGTATGTAGGAAGTTTCCCAATTTATTTCCTGTTAATCTTATTTGTTGTAAGTAAAGAGAAATATATAAAATAAGATTCCCATCAGATTAAAATTGTTACAGTCAACTGAAGGCCAGATTTGGGGTTTGAACTGGTTGATATCAACTTTTCATTGGCAAATAGCTTGTTAAATAAAATGTTCTCATTCTTTACTTGGCCAAAGGACTTGTAGCAATAAAGGGATAAAAGAAGTCCTAGTACCTGATGCGAGTTTTTAACTGTCATTATTTTGTTTTGAAATTAGGGCATAGCCGTACTATTGTTGGCATAGAAGAGAGGAAGAATAGAACATTATGTTTACTAATATTTGACCCAGGATGTCCATCACAAGAAATGCAGAAACTGTTAAAACAAAGCAATGATGATACCAGTCTCAAACTACTTCGGAAATTTGTGGGTAGCTTAAAAGATAAGCAGTACCAAATAGTGGCTGTAGATGGCGAGCTCTCACCAGAGGAGAAAGTTGTAAGTATTCAAGAAAAGTTTCTGTACACAGAAACATAATAGAATTAACCTTTTGTCTTAACCACTCTGGATATATACAGTTGATAATCTGGGTGTGTTGTGATCTTTTTTTCATCTTTCCTCACCCCACACTCCAGCAAAATACCCCAAAACAAAACGCCCATCTATTTATTCTTCACTAATAAAAGTAAGATCTTTAAAACACTTTAGTATATATTCTTATACTCATGTGGTTCAAGTTCTTGTAATTCTAATTAAAGGAATATTCAAGACCAAAATATATATACTAATTCTACTATTCTTAAAAACAGTTTCCTAAATCAGTTTTGTGAAGCTTGCAGCTTTGTGTATGTACATAATACTTTACATGTATACAGCATTTTCTCCAAAAGAAATACTGAGCTCTTCTCAGAAACAAAGAATACCATACCCAATTGAAACTGCAAAGAGAATTTAGTTAGATCTTGTCTACACTAAGATTAAGGCTGTAGCAATAGGTTATTGTTTTATATGTAAACCAGTGGGGGATGAGACACACATCACCAGCATATTTCACACTGGTATTGGCTGACAGCAGAGAAATATAGTCTCATGACGCCTAGGTTCACTTCCTGGTTCTGGAGGGGAGTGTACTCAGTGGTTAGACTAGACTGTTTTTCCCCTGTGTCTCCTGTCTGTCCCTTTCCCCCTCTCCCTCTGCTGCTCTTCATCCTTTAGGTCCATTCCCCTGCCCCTCTGCATTCCAGTCAGGTTGCTTTCTCCTCTATCCTGCCCAACAGTGGCAATATTGATTGCTTAGGAGACACTGTCTCTGCTGAATTCTATTGCCAGACACAGCAGTTCTCAGAAGTGTTGGCGGAGCAATTACAGGGAAAGTTCTGTTCAGTCCATGCAGCCATATACTGATCATGCTTCAGCCCAAATCATAGAAGATTAGGGTTGGGAGAGATCTCAGGAGGTCATCTAGTCTAACCCCCTGCTCAAAGCAGGACCAACCCCAACTAAATCAACCCAGCCAGGGCTTTGTCAAGCCGGGCCTTAAAAACCTCTAAGGATGGAGATTCTACCACCTCCCTAGGTAACCCAGTCCAGTGCTTTACCATCCTCCTAGTGAAATAGTTTTTCCTAATATCCAACCTAGACCTCTCCCACTGCAACTTGAGACCATTGCTCCTTCTGTCATTTGCCGCCACTGATAACAGCCGAGCTCCATCCTCTTTGGAACCCCCCCTTCAGGTAGTTAAAGGTTGCTTTCAAATTCCCCCTCATTCTTCTCTTCTGCAGACTAAATAAGCCCAGTTCCCTCAGGGTTTCCTCATAAGTCATGTGCCACAGCCCCCTAATAATTTTTGTTGCCCTCTGCTGGACTTTCCCCAATTTGTCCACATCCTTTCTGTGGGGGGGACTGGATGCAGTACTCCAGATGTGGCCTGACCAGTGCCGAATAGAGGGGAATAATCACTTCCCTCGATCTGCTGGCAGTGCTCCTACTAATGCAGGACAATATGCTGTTAGCCTTTTAGGCAACAAAGCAATATGTTGACTCATATTCAACTTTTTGTCCACTTAATCCCCAGGTTCTTTTCTGCAGAACTGCCACTTAGCCAGTCGGTCCCCAGCCTGTAGCAGTGCCTGGGATTCTTCCATCCTAAGTGCAGGACTCTGCACTTGTCCTTGTTGAACCTCATCAGATTTCTTTTGGCTCAATTATCCAATTTGTCTAGGTCACTCTGGACCCTATCCCTACCCTCCAGCATATCTACCTCTCCCCCCAGCTTAGTGTCATCCACGAACTTGCTGAGGGTGCAGTCCATCCCATCATCCAGACCATTAATGATGCAGTGCTCCATGGATTTAGAATTCTAATAGGCCTCTGCTGAGCACATCCAAACAAATTTTTCAGAGGCTTATAACTTGGCCAAATTTGGGGTGAACTTTTTGGGCAATCATCCTTGACAAAAGACACATCCTTGACACCAGGTGACCCCCTCCACATGAAGGTGTTAGAGCTTCTCAACAAAACAGTTATATGAATTTTTTAGTATAGGTAAAATAACTACTTCCCTAATCTCATTCTTTCAACTGAAATTTAAACAGTCAGCCTAAGGTAGACACCCAGCATGGAAAAACTTCAGCGTGAATGTCTAAAGTTTGGTAAAGTTATAAGCAACTGCAAACAAGGTTTATAATGGAAAGAAATAGGTAACTTTAACTCTAGGTTAAAGTTATTTAATACTTCAAAAAAAATTATAACTAATTTATAATACTGTTTTGAAATTACTTAACATATACTTTATGTAAGTGTGAGCATTATTAAGTGATATTTTTGTTCTCTGAATGCATCTAATTTTTTTTTTAAGGTTCGCTGCCAGGCTTCTCAAGTGTTCACAGCAGCGAGGATTCCTTAAAGAATGGCCTATTTGCTACTTTTCTCTGGAACTCAGTGGATGTGAAACTTTAAATGCATTTAGACAGCTTTTCAATCATCTTATTTATAATGTGTTAATATTTTTGAGCATCTTTACTTATATCTTGCCAAAAAAATAAGTTTGTCCTGCTAATTTTTTAATAAATATTTATAGGCTTCATGATTGTGTACTCTATACGCTGCAGGAATATAAGGTTGGGCCTTATGTTAGCCCTGTAGGATAATAAAGTGGGGAATCTGGTCAATTTACTGGAGTATGGAAGATTATAGTGACTTGCTCTGGATGGGAATAGTACTACAAGGTTGTAACTGCAATGTGTCACTGCTGTATGACTCATCAAGGCTCTTATTTACTCTTCCACCAGTTTTTATTAGTATCTACTCTACCACCCTTTCTGTATAGGAGCAACCCTATGGGGCTATGTGTATCTATGTTATTTATAACTGCCTTAACAGTTGCAAAGTTCTTGTTCTTCTATATTCATGATGATGTCTTAGAGGTGAGGAGTTGTACCATATGGTGAGGGTCATGCACTGTACATGTGGAGCTGCTGCTTCAACATGAATCAGTGTTGCAGAAAAAAAAATTCAAAGGTGGAGCTCAGAAGCGCTAGTAAAATTGGAGCAAAGGATTAACTCACAGCTGGCACTCCTTTCAAAAGACGTGTTGGATGGGTTCTAGTCCTGCCTCTAGAGCCTTGCCTAATACGAGTGTTTCACGGTCCGCTGTATTCAATCGTGGTGTGACGGCGCAGCTAGTGCGGTGCTGACGGGAGGGGCAGTATTCCTGCAAAGAGCTCTGGGTGGCTGGACTCTGACTCGGAGCCATATTGTCCCGTCCCCGTGCAGACAGTGAAGGGAAGATAGCAGAGGGGTGATCCCAGCATCCCCCAGCCGTGCTCCGGCGCCAGGGGCGACGGGCCTGGCGTGAGCCAAGTGGTGTCTCCAGCGCAGGGGCCGCTCCCCTTTTGTAAGCGGGGCGGGGCGGCGTCTAGCTGCAGGTGGGGGAGACTCATCCGGGCCGGAAACTTCCGGCGTGTCCCCAGCTGCATCGCGGGAGAGTAGAAGGCAGGGGCGGGATTTATCCGGGCTGCAGTGGCCGCGGCTCTCCCCGGCTTGTGGTGCAGCCGCACCGCCTCTCGGCCGACTCCGGCCAGCGCCCTCCCGCGGCGGCGGCATGTCCGGCGGCGGGCGGCTCGCGGGCCGGGTGTGCCTGGTGACCGGCGCCTCGCGGGGCATAGGGAAGGGCATCGCGCTGCAGCTGTCGGAGGCCGGCGCCACCGTGTACATCACGGGCCGGCAGCGGGAACCGCTGGTCCGGGCGGCGGCGGAGGTGTCGGCCCGGGGCGGGCGCTGCGTGCCCGTGGTGTGCGACTCGTCGCGGGAGGAGGAGGTGGCCGCGCTGTTCGAGCGGCTGCAGCAGGCGGACGGCGGGCGGCTGGACGTGCTGGTGACCAACGCCTTCTCCGGGGTGGATGCCATCGCCGCCGAGCTGGGGCTGCCCTTCTGGGAGAGCCCGGCCTCCTTCTGGGACCAGATCAACAATGCGGGCCTGCGGGGCCACTACCTCTGCGCCCACTACGCTGCCCGCCTCATGGTGCCAGCCGGGCGCGGCCTCATTGTCGTCATCTCCTCGCCCGGTGGCCTGCGCTACATGTTCAATGTGCCCTATGGCGTGGGCAAGGCCGCCTGCGACCGCCTGGCCGCCGACTGTGCCCTCGAGCTGCGCCCCTACGGCGTGGCCTGTGTGACGCTGTGGCCCGGTCTCGTCCGCACTGAGGCAGTGCTGAAGGAAGCCGAGGGCTCAGGCCCGTGGGTCGTGCAGCTGCAGAAGATGATTGGCAATTCGGAGAGCCCAGAAGTGAGTGGCAAGTGCGTGGTGGGCCTGGCGTCCGATCCCGCCATCATGTGCCACAGCGGCAAGGTGCTGCTCACCCCAGACCTCGCCCGCCGCTACCGCTTCCGTGACGTGGATGGGAGACCTGTCTACAACTACGTATCGGTGCGCAATATTCTCGTGATGCTGATGCCACGGCTGACCTGCCTCTTCCGCCTCATCCCAGAGTGCGTCAGCATACCCAAATGGGCTCTCACACTTTACTCTAGCAAATTCAGTGTCTACCCGCCCCTGCAAACAGCCCCCAAACCTGGAAAAAATATTTGATAAATTAATAATAAAAAATGTGCCCGTGATGTTTTTGAATTTTCTGTTTCTTCGTTTCTTTCTGAAAATGTGTCTTGGAGTTGAAACTTTCCCCTCTGATGCCCGGCGAGTCTTCAAAAATCCTCAAAGCTGGCTTTCCCCAGAGCTTATTCCTTTTTGGTGAGGGACACTCCCTGATTTGGATGTTAATTTTAAGGTGGTGTTTATAATCTCTCCCTCTGGGGAGGAAGGGTTTGGCTGAGTGTTTCAGAGAGCTTTTGAAATCATCTTCAAAGTTTTGCAATAATTCCTGCCTTCGTTTGCTCCCCATGGCCAAAGAACAGCTATTCATGCTAGTTCCCCATAATGCGAAGACCATAGAACTTTTATTTAGTATATAACCGCTTATCCATTTCCTGGAAAAAATTTAAATTCAGATTTAATCCTTTGCTGTTTAAGAGTTTCTCATTAGAATGCTTTGGATACCCATAGATTTTGGAACAAATCTATCAACTGTGACCCACGTGGTTCCAGGACATACTGGTTTAGCAGAGGAGTTCTTACAGTACATAATAAAACAGGGATTATGTCCTGGTTTCAGTATAATTGGCTGATTGACCTTCTTACTGCCTGTAGCGGGGTGGTTACCCGCTCCTGCCCTGAGGGGTTAAAACAGCCCTGGAGGAGGGCTGTGGAAGGGCAAGACGCCTGGGCTGATTGAGAGGAAGCAGGCTCAGCTGGGGCCATGCCCCAATCAGGGCCCAGTTGGCCCTATAAAGGCTTGAGCCAGGAGTGTGCGTGTGCGTGTGCGTGCATGCAGTGAGAGAAGGGCCTGGCTGCAGGGAGCTTACCAAAGTGCCTAGAGAGGAGCAGGGCTGGGGAAAGGCCAAGGGAGCCAGGGAGCTCCGGCCTAGGAAAGCCCCAGGGTGCAAGTCTAGGGTAAGGCCAAAGGGGCACTTGGGTTGCAGGAGGCAGCCCATGGGTAGGTAGAGGCAGCGGTCCAAATCCCTTTGCCTGTGATGAATGGCTTATACTGCAGTCTGCCCCAGTGAACGGGGGCTAGATGGAGACTGGGCAGTTGCCAAGACTGAGGTGAAGTGAGGATGGTGTGTGAGGGTTCCCCTGGGAGGGGGAGACCCAGAACTGTGAGGCTACTGCCAAGGGGCAGCACCCAGAGAAAGGGGCACAAG